AAAAATAACAATAATGCTAACAAATTCATTCAAAATAATTATAAATATAGGTTTAAATCTAACTAAAAAAGTCATATGATTTAGATGCGGCAAGGCAAACCATAGCAAAAGATTTTAGTACTCATCTACCATGGACACCTCGCCTGTCGTTTCCTATTAAAGCTACCATTGTAGCGAAGTTAAGTGGTTTGCAGTTCACAATGGAATTCGATACTGATGCTGCCTGCAGTATGATAGATGTAGTTTCCTGGAGACGTATTGCTAAACCAACAATATTACCTGCGTATTAACTACTGGGATATAATAATATCAAAATCGAAGTGTTGGGTAAAAATGTATAGTGAAGGTCGTAATAAATATTTCTAAATTTTTATCTATTTAGGTAATTAAAGAAGAGAATTCCCAAATTTTTGTAATTCATAATTCAGGAAGAGGTAAGGATAAATAATATAAATATCAACGCTCCCACTTTGAATGCTATTGCATCAAAATTTCCTCAAGTATTTTTTAAGAAATTAGGGGAAATAAAACTCCAACAAACAGTTATCCGTGTACAATCTAAAGCATTACCGTAGCTTTACCAGCAAGAAGAGTTCCATCTCCGCTGCGACAAACGGTTGAAACGAGTTGAACAGATTTTTAGACGAAGGCGTTATCGAAAAAATGGATACAACAACAATTCTAATCACTTAAGCTACCCCAATGGTTAATATCTTAAAGAAATCCGTGCCATGCGGATATGCGGAGATTTTCGTTTAACAATAAACAAATATTTATAGATAGCTATTAATAACCAACTTTCGTAGACCAGTAAATTATTTTCAACGATAGATTTAAAAGATGCATTATTACATTTCGGAGTTATTCCAAAATGTAGGGACCTTTTAGTAATTTTATGTCGGTTATTACCGATATCTAAAAATCTCTTTTGATATGACTAGCGCGCTCTGATAATATTTCAACTCTCTATGCAAAACCTATTAAAGAGAATTCTTATTGTTGGTGTATTTTTAGATGATGTAATAAGTATTATGAAGATTTGATAAGTCTGGAGACAACGACGAATATAAAATTAAAATTAGAGAAAAGAAAAGAAAAGAGTTATTTGTCTGGGTCATTTTATTGACGAATTCGGAATTCACCCTACAGAAGATAAGATTATTGCCATAAAAAATAGTAAAACACCATCAAATGTAAATGAATTACGTTCGTTTCTTGGGATGGTGAATTACCAGAATCGTATTAACAAAATGTGCATTCTATTTGTAAGTCTTTACATTGACTAACAAGTAAAAATGTTATTTGGTTTTAGTCAACCAGAGTTGTACATTTGCTCAAAATATAGATCTTTGAAGATCGTAAAATTTGAAGATCTTCTTTTTTTTTTAAATTTTGTGTAACGATCTTCAAAGATCTTCATGATATTTATTTTTTTACCACTTTATTAAAAGCCCAGATGTTTTTCAATTTTATTAATATAATATTTCTTTTATGTTTTATACCTCTCCTCCTGCCTTGATGAAAATTGAAAAACATCTGGGCTTTTAATAAAGGGGTAAAAAAATAAATATCATGAAGATCTTTGAAGATCGTTACACAAAATTTTTAAAAAATAAAAGATCTTCAAATTTTACGATCTTCAAAGATCTTGCTCAAATTTTTGAGCTAGATCTCGCTCAAAAATCTTCAAAGAAGATCTTTTGTACAACTCTATAGTCAACTCAAGAAAATGAAATATTTAACAATAATTCCTTCCGACGATAATCCTGTTGTGATTTTTTGTGATGTTCCAAAGATTCGGAGCTATTATTGTGCACCAATTTCTTACTGGCCAGGAGAAACCGATTGCGTACGCATCAAGGACACTTTCGGCGGCTTAAAAGTATTGCGCCATTATTGTTTTAAGAGGCTTCGGCGATCATGTTAGCCATCAAGATTCCATCAATTTAATGGAAGACATTTTATTATGGTTAAGTATCACACACCCATAAAATATATCTTAGGTTGTAAAAGAAACCTAAATTCCTTCCCCTTCTTTTCCCTTGTCCTTTTTCTTCCACTTTCCTTTTTCTTTTCCAGTTCTTTCTCTTTTCTCTTCCTTGTACATTTCCTTTTTCTTTTTCTTTTCCTTATCCTTCCCTTTCCTTTCCTTTCCTCTATTCTTTTTATTTTTCTTTTACTTTTCCTCTTTCTTTTCCATTACCTTTTTCTTTCTTTTATTATTCCTTCTCTTTTCCTTCCCCTTCTTTTCCCTTGTCCTTTTTCTTCCACTTTCCCTTTTCTTTTCCAGTCCTTTCTCTTTTCTTTTCCTTGTACATTTCCTTTTTCTTTTCCTTTTTCTTTTCCTTTTCCTTATCCTTTCCTCTATTCTTTTTACTTTCCCTCTTTCTTTTTCCATTACCTTTTTCATTCTTTACCATTTTCTTTTCTTTACCTATTTTTTTCCCTTCCCTTTTTAATTTCCTTTAGATTCCTTTTTGATTCTCTTTTTTTTAATTTCCCTTTTAATTTCTCTTATCATCTTTCCCTTTCTTATATTCCTGATTTTCCTGTTCTTTCCCTTAGCCTTTTTTCTTTTCTTTTCCTTTCCACTTTTCTTTTTTCCTTTACATATTTCTTTCCCTTTTTCTTTTCCCATTTCTTTTCTTTTCCTAACTTTTTTTATTCTTATATTCCTTCTCCCTTCGCTTCCCTCTTTTCTTTATCTTTACCTTCCTTTCCCTTTTAATTTCCCTCTTATTACCTTCCCCAATCTCCTCTTTTCCTTTCACTCCTCATTTCCCATTCATTTTTGCTTTTCCTTTCCATTCACCTTTTTTTCTCTTTCCCCTTTCTTCCCCTATACCTTTCATTTTTCCTTTACATATTTCTTTTCTTTTCGCTTTTTTTTTGCTTTTCCTTTTGCATTTTCTTTCCTTTTTCTTATCTTTATCCTTTTCTTTCCCTTCTCCTTTTTTTCTTGCCTTTAAAAATTCTAAATCTTGCTTATATCTTCTAATAATTTTAAGTGTTATTGAAAATAATAATAATAGATGATAGGAAGTAAACAATTGTATTCAAATTGAGTTTTTATTTTCCTTATTTTTAACGATTTTTAAAAACTCAATTTAAATACACGAATTTACGTCTTTAGCATCTATTAATATTATTAATTTCATATTTAATTAAAAAGTTTTCTTGGATATATAAGCAAGATTTTACTTTTTTCTTTGTTTTCAGCGATTTGGAAAGAAACCTTCTTTCTTTTCTCTCACGTTTCCCCTTTTCTCCATTCCCTCCTTTTTTTCCTTTTTTCTATTTCCTTTCCTTTTCTTTCGTTTATTCTCTTTCTTGCCCTTTCTCTTTCTCTTTCTCTTTCTCTTTCTCTTTCCCTTCTCCATTCCTCTTTACTTTCCATTAAATATTTTCTTTCATATTTGGAATTCCTTACACTTCACCTTTTCTTTCCCTTTCTCCTTTTTCACCCTTTCCTTCCCTTTTCCTTTTTCCTTCCCTTTCTTTTTCTCTTTTCCCTTTCCCATACTTTTATTTTTACATTTCCCCCTTTTTTCTTTTCCCTTCTTCTTTCCCTTTCCCGTTTCTTTTACCTTTTTCTTTTCATTTACTTCCTTTCCCCTCTTCTTTCTCATTTTCCTTTCCTTTATTTTTCTTTCACATTTTCTTTTCCTATCATTTTCTGTTCTTTCCATTTTCACTTTTTCTTTCCCCTTCCATTTCTTTCCAATTTCCTACCATTTTTATTTTCCTTTTGCTTTTCTTTTACCTTTCCCTTCTTTTTCCCTTTTCGTTTACCTATTTTCTTTCTATTTTTGTTCCCCTTTTCCCTTTTATTTTCTTCACCCCTTATTTCAGTTTCTTTACACTTTTTCTTTTCCTTTGCTATCCATCTTTTTCCATTCCTGGCTCTTTTTCTTTTCCCTTGCCTTGTAGCCCCATTTTCTTTCTTTTACCCTTTTCTTCCCCTTTCATTCTTTTCTTTTCTTATCTTTTTCTTCCCCCTTGTCATTCCCTTTTTTTCATTTTCCTTTCCCGTTTTTCCTTAATTTTTCCCCTTTTCTCTCTCCTTCATATTTCCTTCACCCCCCCCCCCCTTTCCAATTTCTTTCACTTCTCCTTCTTCTTTCTATTTTTATTTTTTTCTATCTTGACATTAGAGTTTTCATCCATAGAAAAAGTTTTATTCCAACTGATTCTGGCTTGCTATTTTCTTTCAAGCATAGGTAATTTCCTCTTAGTTTGATAAAAAAAAGGAGGTTCTATCAGAAAAGGAAAAAGATCCAATAAAAAAGGGAAAATTCCAATTCAAAAAAGGAAATTCGTTATTTTTTTAAATATTTAAAAAAACATAAATTCTTAAGAATTCTAAATTGTAAAGCTTGCCAAAATGGTCCTCCAGACAATATTCGACTTTATTCGCAATATACTTATTTTTTTGCATATGGCAAATATTTGTATAATTTTTATTTCTCATTGTTCCTGCTCAATAAAATTTGTTAATATACCATTTATATTATGGCAATACATAAATTAATAATATTTTTTTAGTATCTCTCCTCAATCTCATACCCATATTATATTTATATTTAAACTCTGAATCTTATGATTTGTGATCCTTCGCCATTTGTTATTCAGCACTATTTGTTGAGAATTTATGATTTCCAAGTATATTCTTTTACGGTCAAAAGCCTGGCTAGAGCGTAGCCCTAGTTGATAAATAAAGGAAAATCATGCGGTAATTTAACGTCTAAAAAATTTGCGTTGGGGAAGCAAATGCCTATTTTTTTAATGAATAAAGGCAAAAAATTTTTTATTATTTATCTTTTCTTTTTTAAAAATAAATAATTTCTTCTATGTCCTAAATATCAAAAATTGCATAAAAATAATCTCGCGCAATTTGCGCGAGTTTAACGAAAAAAAAAATATAAGCCATTTTAAATGGAAAATTATAATGTTGGCCTAAATGATTTTTTCGATTTTGCGCATATTACACGATTCTTACAAATTTTACGATTCGTAAAACTTTAATCTTTTTTTCTTTAAACTTTTGTAATTTGTGCGAAAAGATGGCGAATGAATCTAATTTGATGGAAAAAATAAGGCCTCATAGATTTTTTTGGTGTAATAGCGACCTCAAATATAGGGACACTGCAGCAAGTAAAATAAAATGGGAAGAGATAGGGAAGATATATGAATTAAACTATGAGCAAATAAAAAAAAAGTTCACAGCTATAAAGTCAAAATTTAATAAATATTATTCCCTTTCAAAAAAATCAGGTATGATATTATTAAATATATTATAATTTAATTTTATATAGGTTCTGGTGCTGCTATGATAAGCAGTAGGCACTTGAAATTTATAGAAGATTATTTTTGGCTAAAAGAAAATGTGGAAGATATTTGTAAGAATGCAGAGGCAAGTTTTAGTTTGGATCAAATATCTTCACATGTATTATAACATGAAATTATAATTATATAATAACAATATTTTAGGATTATGAACAAAATATCCAAGATGATGTGAATGTACAAACATCATCACAGGTATTATAACATGAAATTATAATTATATAATAACAATATTTTAGGATTATGAACAATATCCAAGATGTGGTGAATGTACAAACATCATCACAGGTATTATAACATGAAATGTATATAATGAACTATATATTAGGATTACGAGTTAAATACACATGATCTTTTAACTGATATTGTTAATCCTACTGATATGTATGAGAAAGAAATTTTAGAGGTTAAATTAATATTATGTATATATTATTAATACAATTCTTTTAATTAAGAAAATATTAATCCATGTAGCTCAAAGAGGAAGAATTTAGATACTCCTAAATCTAAAGCTAAAAAATCTAAGAAGTATGAAGATGAAAAAATGGAGATATTTAGGGGTACATTTATATATTTAATAATTATTAATTTTTAAAATAGGTTTTGCTGCCAAACATACATCCCAAGGAGATGATCCCCATAATATTATGGGTTTTTTCAAATCATATCAAGCTCAATTTAATATTATGACTGATAAAGAAATTTTTGATTTTAAATTAAAATTTATAACAACAATGTTAGTTTAGTTTATACTGTATTTTTTTAATTATTTTATACATTTTTATATCTTAATTTTTAATACCATAATATGTTAAACATATTTTGTATATTTATTTATAATAAAAATTATTGAAATTTAGTCATTTGTCTTACTCATTAAATTAATTAGAAATAACTTACTTATATAATGTAATCAAAACAACACTTTTTATTGAATATTTATAAATAAATTATATAACTTTGACAAATGAAAACATTCATAAGAGATATAAGGTTATGGGAATTAAGAAATATAAGATTATGGGAATCAAAAATTAATGTGTACAAAAATTTTACATATAATTATTTACAAATAAATTAAAAGTTTCTCTAATATTATTAGAGCTTTCAGTCCATCGCTGGAACTGAGATTGGGTAAAATTGAGTATTGGGTGTTGTTCATGATTTATATCTGTGCTATGATTTCCCTCAAGATCTATTATAATATTATGCAAAAGGCAGTCAGCCTTAACTATTTGTATAGTGTTTGTAATATTTGTTTCTGAAGGTTTGTAAAGATGTCTGAATTTGGCACTCATGATGCCAAAGCATCTCTCTATTGATACTCTGGCTTTTGATAATTTAGTATTGAAAGTTGATTTATTATCATTCAAATTAGTTTTGTAGAGTTTCATAATAAAATCCAATAGGGGATAAGCATCATCACCTACAAATACATAAGGTGCTATAATATCTGTAGATGGTAAAAAATTTGGATTGGGTATCTTGATAATTTTATTGATCATTCCTTCATAAAATAGGCTCTTTGAAAAGATACTTCTATCTGAGATAGACCCAGGAAAGCCAACTTCAATCAACATGAATCTAGAAAAAAATTAAAATTTCGAAAATATATAATTACCTAGCTTTATCATCTGAAATACCTTGAATGACAATGGAGTTGTATTTTTTATAATTATAAAATGTGGAACCACTTTTTTTAGGTTGTTTTATTTTAACATGTTTTCCATCAATAGATCCTATTATATGAGGAAAACCTGATTTCCTGAAATATTCTGCTGAAATATCAAGCATCTGTTCACCTGTTGGTAAACAGAGATGCTTGGGTTGAAGACCAATCCATATTAATCTACAAGTTGATGTAACTATTGTACTTACTGATGTTTTGCCAATCTTAGCATATAAAGCTATTTTTCTAAAGCTCATACCAGTTGTCAAATATCTATAAATATATAGATATTATATAAAAAAATAATCATCATACATGAGTGTTATATATAGTCTATGCTTCATACTGATAGAATTTTTATGTATAACTATAGTGGTGTCTAAAGATTCCAATTTTGTAAGAATGTAATTAAATGTTTCCACATGCATATGGAACATCTGACGAAATTTGTCAGGATATGAAGGAATACTATCAAATGTTCTAAAAATTCCTTGATCTCTAGAATTAATACATATAATATAAATCATATCATATATACCGTCCTTCTAAAAATCTATGCCTTCTTCTAGACTCAGTCGTATCTTCAAATAATATAAAATAGAGAAATAGTATATCATGCATATCAAACAATTTAAAATTGAAAATAAATGTATGATTCGGGACATGTTTCGTATCTCGCAAAACTCGCTAAAGTTGTGCATTTCGCAAAACTTTTGCGAAATTATTTTTTTGATTTAGGACACGGCCTAAAGCTATAATTAATTTAATATAAAAATATATTGGAGAATAATTATGTTTTTATTTAATAATTACTAATTAAATTTTTGTTTTATATTATAATATTATTAGAATAGAATGTTCTATATAATATTAATATATTACATTTCTCTTTAATTAATTTTTAAAATATTTAATTATTATTTGCCTGATATGATAAAGGTTTATATTAAAAGGAATAATTTTCCAGCAGCAAATTTAATTTTTATATTTTGTCTTGTATTTTAGGTATAATAATTGATATTTTCTTTAAAAAATTTTAATATTAATACATTATAAATATGTCTGATAATTTTATATTATTAAAAATTGATTAATATTTAGGTAAATAAATTGATTATTGAAATGGGAAGACCAAAATCAATTTTGCTAAAACTTAAAAAAGAAAACTAAACTTGCTTTCTTAATTATTCTATGGACATATATTAAAAAAATGAGTGGCTCACTAGTTAGGATTTCTAATTCTCTATATTGTGCGTCATGCCCCTTATTCCCAATTGAAAAATATATTTTGCCTTCTAGAGATAGTTTAACTTTTATTTTATTTTTTATATAACTTTAAACAATTTTTATATATTTTTATCTATTAACCAAATAATAACTTTTACTTTTGTAATTTATATTTTGATGAACAATTTAAAATGATGGTAAATTATTTGAAATAAAAGATTGAAACATGATTATAAAATGTAATCCAAAATTTCTCGTAATTTTTTTACTTATATTAAAATTCTATTCAGGAGCGTCGCTAGCCTTTAAAATCTCAGGGGGCACTAACTAAAAAAATTTTTATGGGGGGCTCCAATTTGTTGGCCTTAGGCCCGCTTTTGCACGGCCTTCGGCGGGATTTTATATTAATATATTATACTTTTTAAATTTGTTAACTCTGAACAATAATTCTGAATTTCATATTTTGTCATTTATTATATTATGCATACAAAATAAACTGCCATATAAATAATTAAAACAATACAAGACATTTCTAAAAATAATATTTTTTAATACAAAGTCTATTTATTACAGTATAAAATATTTTCGATCGCTGATATAAAAAAAAATTGCGTCTAAAGAAATACAAGTGATAAAAAAGATTAATTAATTCATACATATGCCTCAATTGATAATGCTTTTTAAACCAGGTAATGCAATAATATAATTCTTAGCAACTTACATTGAAAAAAGGTTATTAAACTAATATAACTTTCTGTTACAATTTTAGACAATGTTTAATAGAATGGACTAATAAGTAAAAATTTATAGGCCAAAACCAAATCAACATTTTTGAAGAAGAGAGTATAAACGACCAATCCAAATCATAAAACTATATGGTGATTAGAGCTTCCTTTTAGATAACATGATTGAAATGAGTATTCGAGAAAATTATTGTGAGATATTAAATTTTTAAAAGAGTATCTTCCATTTTAAATGATATATAAACGACTACACAGTTGACCATTATTGTTTATCTAAAATATATAATCATATGCTCTCAGCCGTTGTAGTAATAATCTTAAATTACAAAGTAACACAAATAATAGATGCTGGTTAATTTGCAGTAATAGCCATGACACTCACGATGTAAACTAATATCAGAATTTATTATGTTGGATAAATTGATAAAATAAAAACACTAAAAATCCTTGGAAGAAATAATTATGCAAATATTGAAGCCTGGAGTTATTTACACGGCAATGTCATATTAGAAATGAGATATTTTCTAACACTAAAAAAGGACTAGAATGATATGATGAAACAATTAAGATTTTTTATATAGTCGCACCACCTTGGTATATTATATCTTAAAATAATAGTAGTTTGTAAATCAAAAATATACTTGTATTAAAAATTTAACTCAAAATTGTTTTTCGAAAAAGAAAAAAATTGCTTTCCTAAAAACACATAAAAAAAGAGAAGAAACGACATCAAATTTATTACATCTATAGCAGGATGAATAATAAAATGTTTAAAATTGTTATTATATTATCAAAACCATTTATTAGTGAAATTTATTATAATATTAACTGTAATATATTATATAACTGTCAAATACGTCTATAAAAGTGGCATTTTATCTAATATTTTATAAACAACTGTATATAGTAGAGGATTATAAACTATATGTCTACTTACTTTTTATAAAGAAATCTCTTATACTAATTTGGACCTTGAAAATATTTTTTAAGAATAGGTATGATAATAAAATTTAAAAATAAATATACAGTTGATTAGTCATTTTGAATTCGGCTAATTATAATCTTAAATTTGTTAATTATCAAATTACATATGATTATAATTATCTATATTATAATTTTCCGATGTCCTCACTACGTCATCGCTACGTCATGTCATCGCTACGTCATGTCATCACTACATCATGTCATCGCTACGTCATGTCATCTCTACGTCATGTCTTTGTACGTCATGTCATCGGTACGTACTTATTTTTATTTTTATTTTTCTATTGATTTTATTTTATTTTTTTTATAGAAAATATTTTTAGACATGAAGCCCAATAAAATCTACCAAATGCAAAATAAATTATTCATCTATATATACTAAAAAGGCTTATACTTTTCATTTTAGAATACTTAGCTTATGATGGATGATATTCCCACTATTTCTAGAGAGGTTAACCTAATATTGACTCCTCTTCAGGTTTAATACATTAATATATTTTTTATTTATTTTTTTGTTTTTATTTTAGATAACAAGCCATGTCCCAACCTCACTTAATGATTGTACAGGTGGTATATTGACTCCTCATCAGGTTCAATGCATTTATTTTTTTTATTTATTCTTTTGTTTTTATTTTAGGTAACAAGCCATGTCCTAACCTCAGTTAATGATTGTACAGGTGGTGATTTATCCATCGTTAATAAAAGAAAAAGATGGCAGATCAATCAAAAAAAGAAACGCACTAGGGATAGCGAGGACCTACAAAATAGAACATTCTCTTATTTATCAAGTATAATTTTTCTCAAAATTATATTGGGATTTTTTAATGTTAAATGTTAATCTTATGTTATTATTTTTATAAAGTAAAATATTTTATCTGTAGAATAATTGGTAAATTAGAGATTTCCTCTTCATTAATTATAAATTTTGGGCTTGGTTTCAAAATTATTAGGGAAGGTGGGTTAGAGAAATTCTTTTTAAATATTAAGATCTTGGATGCTTTTTTCTTGAACCTATATTGGGATTTTTTAATGTTAAATGTTAGTCTTGGATGCTTGGATATTTTTTCCAGATATTGTAGGGTAGAACCAATATTAGGATTTTTTAATGTTAAATGTTAGTCTTATGTTATAAATTTAATATCTCTGGGCTTGATTTCAAAATTATTAGGGAAGGTGGGCTGAGAAAATCTTTTTAAATATTAAGATCTTGGATGCTTGGATATTTTATCCAGTTTAAACTATTGGGATTTTTATTATTAAATGTTCGTCTTGGATGCTTGGATATTTTTTCCAGATATTGTAGGGTAGAACCTATATTAGGATTTTTTAATGTTAAATGTTAGTCTTATGTTATAAATTTAATATCTCTGGGCTTGATTTCAAAATTATTAGGGAAGGTGGGCTTGAGAAAATCTTTTTAAATATTAAGATCTTGGATGCTTGGATCATTACATTTATCATGTTATTTTTTAACTTTTAGAATATCATAATAGACTTGATTAGTCCCCCAAAAATTTTATTTGATGATAGCCCTCCAACTTATTAGAAATATGCATCTAATATTGACCCTTCTACCGGTTTTACATTATTTTAATGTTTGTTTAATTTCAAAAATAGTATATTTATATTTTTGTCTGATTTCTTTATTTGTCTAGGCTAACCCTAATCCCTCACATTGCTACCAAGCATGATGAATCTTTTATTAAAGATAAGCAAAGAAAAAAATGGCGATTCAACAACCGCCTTACCCGTTCTAGGGCTACTGGTGGCCAAGATAATAAGGCACTGTGAACTCCTCTGGAGGTTTATTTTGTTTTTTATCTAATGTTTTATATCTATATGTTTATTTTATACACCCAGTTGCCTCCAAATGATATTTCTATCACCACTACCACAATCCCTATGCCACCTCTGCCTAATTTTTAACAAATAAAAGCATTTAATTCCACTATCATTTACCTCATTAGGAGTTATTATAAATAATACTTTATCCGATTCCCTGAGGAACTTTCATGAATATTTAGAGAGATGTTCAAACGTGAATGTGTAGTGCGGCCAATTTCATTAACATTATTAATGGGAAAATATGCGGTAGTTTTGTCATGGCCTTTACAACAATACTTACGACCGTTTTATGGTTGAGTTGACAATGTCGTTCATGATTCTATTTTAGAGGGGGATACCAAAACTGACACTTTGGCAGAAATATCATTTTGCGTTCTTCTTTTACCAGTAGCCCAGGGCCTCAGCTTTATCAGGACGGAATGGGTGTTGTACACTGCTTTGGTAATCCGTCATTATTCATTACTTTCACCTACAACCCTAAATGGGATGATATTATACATTAATTTTTCCTTCTGCAGACGACTGAAAGGATTTGCTCTTAATTTTACCAGACACACAGAGTAATAATTATTCCTCATCATTTTTAAAAAAAATTACCTAAATTTATATGGCAAGAAAAACAAATTTCTTAAAAAATATATAAATAAATTGCATATAAGTTTCATTAGTATTGAATGCCATTTTTATAATTTAAATAAATAGCATTTTTTTGTACTTAACAAAAGATATAGATAGCCCTTATCAAATTTTTTGATAAAAGGAGTTAACCCACTAATTGGTAAATCCGAGATTTCCCCTTCATGTGTTGATAAATTATTTAGAAATTTAACTATCTCCGGGTTTGGGAAATAGTTTTGAAACTTAATATGGGATGAACTGGGCTTGAAAAATATTCCTCAAGATTAATATTTGCTTGCACCTGACTTGGGAATATCTTATACAAATTATTATGGGCCGGGCTAGGAAAAAATTTTCAAAATTATTATGGGTTGAGCTAGGCTTGAGAAATTTTTTTATAAATTATAAGGTCTTGAACGCGTGGAAATTTTTTCCAAATATTATGAGCTTGGACCTGGCTTGATTTTTTAATGTTAAATGTTAGTTATGTAACCAGTAATATATTTACAAAGAATTTTGGTATTGGGTACAAGCTCATTTAAATATATTTTGACTCAAATAATAGTTTCCACTCTTAGTCCTAATGGGTTGGACTCAATGACATTGCTTGGACTTGACATAAATGGGGAGGGGGGGTTTAAAAATTATATAAATTGGATATGATTTTTAAATAAAAGATAACATCTTTCTTAAAAAAACGAATAAAATTCTCATTCTCCGTCATTTTTGACGGGCTATCTACTAGTTTAATTAAAGTTAATAATAATTTAATAAAAGTCAATTAAACTTCAACTGTTAAAGTTAAATAAATATTTAGTGAGTTATTGATATTATATTTTTAATACAGAATTTGATTGAAAGCTGACATAGTGAAAATATAATATATATGTATTAATCTAATCTAATAATTAAAATAGTATTCATTTAATAAAAATTTAAATAGTCTTATTAATTTATAAATAATTAAATCAAATCTGTATATTACTTAATGAAATTATAAAAGAAATCATTCAGGGGCAATCAAAAAAAATTTATATTTAGTTCAAGGGGATATTTTTTTTTCTCTTTAGCTTTCACCTTTTCTGGTGGTAAGCTCCTTCAACATCTCTCTCCATGTTATTCATACAATCTCTTTTATATAATTTATACTTCTTTATATTGGCTCTAACTTTATGGCCCCATTGAAGTTTTAGCCTTCCCCTTTTACCTTTTCCCATCACTTCCAAACTTTCAACTTTATTTCCTATGTAGTTCATAGGCCTTCTCATTGTGTTCCCATACCACCTAAATCTGTTTACCTTTAACTTAGTCTTAATGGGCACTATCTTTAAACTACTTAGTATTCTTGTACTGCGCACTTTATCATTTCTTGTTACCCCAGCAATCATCCTCAGCATTCTCATCTCCATAGTTTGTAGACTTCTTTCGTCTGATTCTTTGGTTGGCCATGTTTCCGAACTGTATAGAATAGTTGGTTGTACTAAGGAACTGTAAAATTTTTTGTGTGGGATTCTTTTGTCAAATAGCACTCCAGATAAAGATCTCCACTACTTTTGATTAATCTTACTCTTTATCTCTTTTTCTATTGTTCCATTTGTTTGTATAGTGGAGCCCAAATATTTGCAGCTTTCAATTGCCGTTATCTGTCATTCATTTATATCAATACTCTCTGTTTCATCTCCTCCTATCACCATATACTCCGTCTTTTCTCTATTTACTTTTAATCCGTGCTTTTCTAGGATATTTATCCAACTCACTAATCTTTCTTTCATTTCATCCTTCGATTCGGCAAGTATCACAATATCATCTGCAAATATCATATTCCAAGGGACTGTTTGAGGTATAGACTCTGCTAATACATCTATTACTGTAATGAAGAGAAGTGGGCTGAGAGCGACCCTTGATGAACTCATTCGGCTATTGTGGAGCCTGCTGAAATACCTGTTGTGCTATAGCCCATATACATATCCTGTATAATTCTTATATATTTTTCGGGAACCTTTTTGTGGCGTAGCGCCCACCATATAAGTTTTTTTGGGATTCTATCGAAGGCCTTTTCTAGATCGAGGAAAACCATGTGTAACTTTTTGTTCTTTTCCCTGTATTTTTCACTCATTTGCCTAATTGCGTGGATAGCATCGGTTGTTGATCTTCCAGGCATAAAGCCAAACTGAGTCTCTCTTATTTCGATTATATCTCTTAATTTTTTTTCTATTATTCTTTCTATTATTTTTTCTATTATTTTTTCTATTATTTTTTCTATTATTTTTTCTATTATTTTTTCTATTATTTTTTCTATTATTTTTTCTATTATTTTTTCGTATAGTTTTAGACAGTGTGACATTAGGTTTATGCCCCTGTAATTTTGACAATTGTGTGGATCCCCTTAATTTTTGAAGATAGGAACTAGATTGTTCTGCCTAAATATTTTATTGTACAGATTTGTGAAGAGATGTATTCCATCATCTCCTAGTTTGGAATATCGTCTGGACCCCTAGCTTTGTTGTTTTTCATATGCATAAGTTGTACAAGGTTTGACAAGGGGGTGTTCATCTAGATGTAGTATGTGGGGATTAAAGTTGAGAAGCTCCTGAAAATATTCCTTTCATCTATTCGTTATTTCTTTTTCGTTTATTATCAATTTCCCATCTTTATTTTTGATTACTTTCGAAGCTCCGTTTATATCCCTAGAGTTCTTTTCTCGCTTTGCCCTTCTTTGGTATGTAGATCTTCGTACATGTCATCGTAAGATTTGGCTCTAGCCACCGCCTTTGTAGCTATTCTCTTGGATTTTTTGTAATTTGTCTTGTCATCTGGGTTTTTGGATTTGTACCATATTTATATAGGGCTTTTTTCTCCTGTATAGTGGTTTGTACCTCTTCATTTCACCACCATAGTTATTTGAATGATTTGTTGCCTCCCCTTGTCAAGCCTAGTGTCGATTTGGCAGTGTCTATTAATCTGGATGAAAGGTCTGTCCACATTTTTTTCACTGACTAGTGAGGAATCTATTGTTTAAATGTTTGCATTGATTGCAAAGGCATCTGTCATTGTTTTTAATTTGCCCCATTTGATGCATGGTTCCAGTTTTATATTGTTTTGAGTGGATATATTTAAGATGTGTAAATCCATGATTAGTAGCTTGTGTTGTGCAGCGATATCTTCTCCTGGGATGACTTGGCAGTCTATTACATCTTTTAATCTTCTGCTAGAGATTAGCATGTAATCTATTTGTGTTTTCCTTGTACCACTTTCGTATGTTATTAAATGACTGTCTTTTTTCTTATAGTAGGTGTTAGTTAAGGCTAGGTCATAGGCTTGCGCAAATTTCATCTCCTTCATCATTTCTTTCTCCATATCCAAAACCACCATGATGCCTTTTGTAGCTATCTCTTGCTTTCCCCACATGTGCATTTAAGTCACCAACAATTATGACTAGGTCATCCTTAGGGATTTCCATTACAGCTTCATCAAGGATAGCTCTAAAGTCATCTTTCACTTTTTCCTTACAACCCGTTTGAGGAGCATATACTGATAGGATGTGTAGTATTGATTGACCAATGCAGAGTTTTATCTTCATTAGGGGATATTAAGGAACCATTAAAAAAAATTTTTTTGCTTCAGGGGGCTATTCAAAATTTTTAGGGGGTTCGAGCCCCTGCGCGCCCCCTAGTGACGTCACTCTATTGATATCTGTGCTGAACAAAATAAAAGATGAATCTTATTAACCCTCAAGATATTTTGTATATTTTATTGCAAATAAAGAAAATTGATTGCTTCCCTAGTAATTAACTTCACGTTTCGCCACTGATACCTAAATGTTAATTAAAGAAAACAACCTAAATTAAATTAATATATTTTTAATTTTACAAAAAAAACATGCTTACAAAATAATATTTTCATATTCATCATTAAAGAGCAATTTTTTTAATATATAAGTAAAGTTAAATCATATATTTATAATTTAAACGCAGTATACATTAGATTTAATATTAATTAAATTATTATAGCTTGTATTATACTTTATAAATGTCCGAGTTTTAAATTTATACACACATTCTCAAACTTATCAAATAGTTTTTTTTTTATCGCAATTGTCTCTGATTAATATAATGGCTTGCTTAACAATTAAAAGATCACTCGATTTAGATCATATACCAAATCATACGCAAAAAAGACAGCGGTGTAATCCTGCTATAATTACTCAACCTTCAAATTCTTCCCAATGCGAGAGCTATTTCGCCCAAATTATTCCTAAAATTACATCGGGTACTTATTTGATTATATATAATTTTAATGTGCTTATTGAAGAGGATATAGAAAAATCTGTCAAATTTTATTCGAAAAGGATACCCAAAAATATAAACACGGTTAAGAATGAGAATGACAACCATACTGAAGAAAAATTTCCTATTTCATTATTTTCACTTGAAAATATGAATCAACACAAGTTTTCTTTAAAAGTTTTTACTCTAATTTATAATTAAAACAGAAATCCTTTATTCACTCTGTCTGAAGTTAAATTTATTTGTGAAAAACTTATTAAAGAAAGAGAAGAAATAATTCGAGAAGAATATGATAAAATATTATATTCAAAGTTATCTGGTAATTAGTATTTTTAAATTAGTATTTAATTCGTTTTATAGAACAATATGAGGCCTTTGTGAAATTTAATACAGATTATCTACATAAAAAGCATTGTGATATTCCACTTAGTTGTAAGTTAATCAACATTATATACCTAGATTAATATTTTTTTATTATTTAGATGTGTCCTAAAAGTATGATGAGATTATGAAGAATATTAATATTAAATCCCCTACTTTATTTATATAATAATCTTTTAATGATATTGTTGCAAATCAAAATATTTTGCTTAAAGTTTATTTTTATTGATTTATAATATATTAAACAAATAAAATATTTTAATTATATTTATGCATTAAAATATCATTTTAACTTAAAAAATTTTAAAATATTTATTGAAGTAAAAAAAATCCTACCTAAATTTCTATTATTAACTAGTAGAGATCAGAGACCTTTATGTACGGAAATGACCACCCCCACCAGCTATGTCTGTGAAAGATGGATTAAATTTTGAAATTTTGCCAATGTTTCTATCAGGATATCAGCAGATTTGAGAGATATAAATAAAATTAAAATGCTTCATCTCCTTGCCAAATAAAATAAACATGAATACCACTTAACAGTTAACGCTTTTCTGATTCAATTTTTTTCATAGTAAGAAAAAATAAACAATTTAACCCTCCAATACTCTAGTGAAAAAAATGACGTTAATACTTGGGTGGGGTTTAATAGACCCCAATTTCAAATGTATATATCTAGTTATATTCATTATTTTCATTTGATATGATATAAAATAGATCTAACCTTAAGCTTGATAAAATATTTAAATATTTTTTCTTAAGCCTAGATTAAAGATGATGAGGATAATTATATTTTGTGTCAAAAATTTTTAAAAAAAGCTTACTTTTTTTAAATTTCAAATATAAAATTAAAAAAAATAACTTACCATCATATAATCATGATAATTCATAATATGGATCTTTATTCAATATAAAAAAAAATTACACTAATACATTCTAATATATAAGAAATATAAATATGCTAAATTTGACAGCAAAACATTTATTACATAAAATATTAATGTGTTCTAAACATAAATTTATTTTACATATTTGATAAAAATATTTCGTTTTTTTATAAGGAGTATAGTTTTATGCCATATTTTGATGGTTTATTTGGCATGTATTGCCTGAATGGGCATTTACCACCAAATGCTGGAAGCATTTCATCTAGGTAGTGTTGTTAATTGGTTGGTTGTATAAAACCAGACCCGGGGTTTGGGTCTAAAAATTTGACCAAACCAGCTCTGAGCACAGACCCGGGGTCCAGACCCGAGGTTCATATTATTTTTATATGTTAAATTTTTTATTCCGGAATCTAGACACGGGGTTTAGATAAATGTAAAGTAAGATAAAATAAATCTCATATCTAATCTTAAATTAAATTAATATTATTATACCTTCTAATCTAAATTAATAATTTATAGCTTTATTTTATTTTCATTTTTCTTACCATTTAAATATTTATAATTTTAGGTGCTTTTGATTGGAATTTGTTAAAACATTCACAACCCAGGTTTCGACCCCGGGTTCGGGCTCAGAGCAAGCCTGAGCATAAAATTTGGTCTTAAATTTTACGACCTAGCATAGCAAATTAAAACAACACTAAATGACTGACTGAGACTGACGCTTAACATAACATTTAAACTTAACCATATTAATATTATATATATTTAATATTTTATCATTAATTTATATTTGAATTTGTGTTTTAGAAATTGCCAATATTTTATAAATAGTCACTATTTTTCAGTGTTGTTCTTGTTGTTTGTGTTGTCTTGCTTTTGACTTACACTTGTGTGTGACGATTTAATAAATAAAACCCATTGTTGAGATAAAAATTTTTGTTTGTAAAATTAATTATAATAAATAACACATTTATTTAAAAAGTTATTTAACTTTAATTAAATAAACTATATAAATTGATTTAATTATTTTTATAAATTACAAATGTTTTATTTTATTTATTTTTCATTTCTTAGTTATAAATATCATCAATTATCTCTTGGAACACATTATTTTTAAACTTTGCCATAATTATTATCAACAATCAGCATGCTTTATCTAAATTTAATATTTTGACAGAGTTGAAAAAGGCCGAGCATAGAAAAAAATTGTTTTTAGAAATACCTCATTCTGAACTAGTGTAGTAAGGGGAATTGGCATAGCGATACTAATTTATTAAGCCAGGGTATGCTGATACATTTTCTAAGAAAGTTTCCAAGACCCATAGACCGGTCTGTTTTTTTGATTCCTTTTTTTCAATACCGGAAATTATTTTTAAAACTCAAAAAAAAAGATTTATATTTTGATTTAAAAATTTAAAAAAAAATGAAATAAAAATTTATTACTGGATATATAAAATGCAAATGTGTTATCTTAAACATAGTAATTACTTATTAATTAGTGAGAGGAAAATATATTATAATAATGTATTATAGTGATCTGCATAGGGCCTAATTTTTCAAGCCCAACCCAAAATTTTTAAAAAATGTTTTCCGGCTTGAACCCGATTAAAAAATTTTTACCAGTACAGCCAGCAAAAATTAATTTTTTATAATTATTCATATATTTATATTTATTTTAAAAAATTTCCAAGGCACTACCCAACCAGGGTTGCCAGGTCAAAATTTTCAAATTGTGGGAGAAATTCGGTATTTTGTGGGAGTAATATAAAAATTGTGGGAGAAATAAAATTGACTTAGTTATCCATAATTTTTTATAAATATAAAATCGAATCTATTTTCCAAAATAAAATAGGTAATTATTTTCCAAAATAAAAGCCAACTATTTTTCAAAATAAAATATCCAACTCTTTTTCAAAATAAAATAGGTAACTATTTTCCAAAATAAAATACGCAACTATTTTTCAAAATAGGTAATTATAGTACGACACAAAATTTCTTAAATACTATCTTTATTATTAAAATAACATTGATTTATTATAATATATTAATTTTGTTTAAAAATAATAACCAACGATCTTTTTTAAATACAAAAGAATGTAAACTAGATAAAATTTTATAAAAAAATTGTAATTTTACAATGTAAAAAAATATATTTTATGCTAATGTATAAATAAGATTTTATAAAAAAACAAACAATTTTAAATTTACAATGTAAAAAATAATTATAATCAGTACGGGGAAGTTGTTCTACAATATTTAGTTAATACAATGAGGGAAGGGAATATGATATTTTGAGGCATCAAAAATCTTCAAAGCATAAATCAGTACAGGGCAGTCTATCAACATCTATTGCAAAACAAAAATATTCTTCAAAAATAAGAAATAATACAGATGCAACTACAGTTGCGGAAATGGCAAATACCTATCATGCAGTACAACATTCAGAGAGCTACTTAACATCACAATGTTGGTAGAATCTTTCCCCATAATATTTAACGACTAATATAAATGAAAAGTATACTTTGTAGAACACAAATGAGCAAGGCTATCATAAATGTTTTAGGATATAAATCCAGAAGGTCAATTCTTGACGATTTGAAAGATGTGCAAACATATGCACTAACAGATGCATCTAATAAGGAGATATCAAAACATTTCCCTTGATCCTCCCCTATTTCAACAAAATTAATGTCATTTCAATAAAACTATTAAAAAAATTTTCTCCAGATATGAAATATCCAAAGACATAGCTAAGCCATATATAATGTTATCAATGTCTTATGATTTTATGCTTCCTAACACAAATTTTATAATGGATACATGTTAGAGCATTTTTTTCTTGATATTAATATCCATCAAACCTGCAGAGGAAAATATAACATGGATTTGTAAAAAATAATATTTTTGACCCAATCAGGTTTTATAAAAAATTTTCATTAAAATAGTTTTGACAAATGATATTAGAAATATAGGAAGTGAATGATTATGATATGTTATTCAATTATACAAGAATTTTTAAATTTATTTTATGTATATAATTGTGATTTAAAAGTTTTAGCTGGCTCTACCCAGATATTTTAAGAAAAAATAGGCCTGGTCCAGGTTTATTTTTTTAAAAAAATGTATGGCCTGGCCTTATGTTCTTAATTTTTCTATATATTAATTTTCACCCAATGTACTCAGGCCTGCTCTGAGGAAGAACTCGAATATTTTTTGTTGAACTTAGGAAAGTATATATGTTCAATATAGGTATCAATCAAGCGCTAATCAAAAGATCTATTCATCAGAAGGACAGGCATTCCCTTTCGATTGGTAATCTAGGGTTTGTGGGGTCAGGAATATTTTTATCAACACAAGATAATAATATGGGTATTAAATAAAAGGTGTTCATTATATCTTGACTAATCATAATTATTATTCTAAGTGGGTTGGTGCAGGTCTGGGTTACAACACAAAATATTGATATAGGCATCAGATAAATGCTAATATAATTATAATTTGATAGTAGTCATTAATCTAAGTGAAAGAATCTAGGTCTTTGGGGGGCTAGAATATTTTTATTAACTCAAAATATTGACACATGTGTCAAATAAAAGGTCATTAAATATTATTTCATTATTAAATTTATGATATAAAATTTTAATTTTTTCACCCTAAATGTTCTAAAATCTTGCTTACTTTTCATTTTAAAAAAGAATTTATATAAAATCATATTTATTTATTTTTATTAAAAGAATGAATATAAAATCTAATTTTTTTATATATTCTTTGGCCTCCCGATCTAGCATAGCCTGTCAAAAATGATGGAGAATGAGAATTTTATTTGTTCTTTTTCAATAGATGTTACCTTTTATTTAAAAATTTCCAATTTTTATACTTTTTAACCCCCTCCCCCATTCAGGTCAAGTTCAACCAATGCCATTGAGTCCATCCATTAGGGCTAAGAGTGAAAACTATTTTTTGAGTCAAAATATAAATTAGCTTTTACCCCATATTAAAATTCTTTGTTAAAATATTACTGATTACATAAGACTAACATTTAACATTAATCCCAAGACAAGTCCAAACCCACAAAATTTGGAAAAAATTTCCATCCAAGTCCTTATAATTTAAAAAAAAATTCTCAACCCAGCTCAGCCCATAATATTGAAAATTTCTTCCTAGCCCGGTGTAGCGTGATTCATTAACTCCCTTTTTCACTTATGTTAAATGTTATTGTACTCTATATTTTTATTAATAGCTATTTTTATAAAAAGTACAATAGTTTGACATCCTTTTTATAAGTTGAATTCTATTCAATTGCAAATTTAAATTATATTTATTGCATTTTATATTTTTTTTTAATACTTCATCTTTTTCTTAACTGTTATTCAATCGCGA